CAAGGGAAGTCCTCTTTATCTCTGCTTTAGCACTGCTAACAATTGTTCTCACGCTCAGATTATTCAGCCCCTCCTAAAAGCCCCACGCATCATTTCTACTTGCACTCATTGAACATTAAGTGCTATCAGAATTGCCCTCCTACTGCAAACAACTAGGAAAGAGGACAAAAATCTATGAAATAACTATTGATTGATATTTAGCAACAGGCAACACAAGACCTATAATGAGAAAGAAAGAGAGAGAAGAAAGGAAGGAAGGAAAGAAAAAAGGAAAGGAGATGGGCTTCTCACTTTCTGTCTGCCAAGCACACATGCACTATAGCAAAAATCTCTCTCTAAAAAAAAATTACTAGGCATGCAAAGAAACAGAAAAATATGACTTGTGTCAGAAAAAAATTATGTATTTCCATACTAGTAATTACATATCTTTACCATCACTCCTAGGCAACTTCTATTAAAGATCATGAATTCCAAAACTAGTTATTTATCCTATAGAAATAAAAACACACACATTAACATTGTTCATAGTGAATCAAAAAAAAAAAAACAAACCAGGAGTAAATTCCCATTATTTTAGTTAGGATAGAGTAGGTTATGCCAACAATAACAATCCCCCCAAACTCTCACGGACTTAACACCTCAAAGTCTTATCTCTTATTCATGCTACATGACTATGATGGGTTAGTGGGGGATCTTTGTTTCATGTGATTTTTCACTCAAGGACCAAAGATGACTGAGGTTTCGTCATCTGTAATGTCACAAATTGCTGAGGGACAGTGTGATGGCATATCTCACATCACAGAAGTAATTAACACACATCACTTCTATCTATAATCTACTGGCCAAAATTTATCACATAACATCACCAAGGGGGGTAGAGGAAGAATAATCTTACATGCCTAGAAGAGAAGACTGAGTATAGCAGATCATAAAATTCCCTACGACACCCTTTAATAGAGAAATAGAGATTTATGAACTATGGTATACCTATGAAATATTACACAGTCATAAAAAGGACTAACTATCACTTCTCAGCCTTTTGGCTAAGATCATGTATAAAAAGGACTAACTAGAACTGTACTTGTTTTAAAGAGATTTCCATGAGACACTGAGTAAAACAAAACTCTGAAAGGTATCCATAGTATTATCCCATTTTTGTAATTTAACTATGACTAGAAAATCTTGGGTAGGGGACAGTAGATGGTGTGGTGGTTAAGGGCACTGGACTCCCACGTGGCCGACCATGGTTCAAGTCCCAGACCTGGAGGCTTGCTTTCTTGCTCTCTCTCTCACGCTCTCTGGTCAAATTAAAATAAATAAATAAAGTTAAATAAAATAATTATTAAAAAAGTAAAATCTTGGGTATATGCATATGCATGTACATGTAAAAATAAAACAAACTAAATGCATTGTATCTATCTCTTTCATGGAGAAAAACAAGAATGGATACACATTAGGTTCTTGTCAAGAGTTATCTAACAGAAGGGGATTTGGAAGAGGAGACTGATATTTATGAAGGGAAGAAAGAGGAGGGAGGAAAAAAGAAAAAAAAGAAGGCATCAAGACTTTATATGCTCATACATTCATATGATGTAGATCATGTATATGCATATAGAAATTAACATTTTAAAACTATCTTTCCTTTTCATTTTGATTGCTTTTATAGGCCTCAAATTACTGAACTGTTGAAACTAAATTAACTTCTTCTGTCCCCTGTAGCTCTAAACTCTATGATTTCCTAACTTAAGTAACATTAAGTCTTATCTGTATCTTGTTTATCATTTTCTATTTCTAACCCATGGTTGACCTGTCACTGATTAAAGTTCTTGATGTACTACTAGAGCCTGTGGACTATTAATGATACTGAATTCAGGTTGCCTGAATTATGAATAATTTACTTTTAACCTTTATATCAACCAAAGCAACTTACTCTTTGACATCATTAATTTACAATTGCATGAAGTAGGAGACATTTTATTACTGCTAGAGTGATAGTTAGGGATATTTTTCATAGGACAGGTATTAGATCTAATCCAAAAGCCTGAAATTTAAACTTTCAATCTAAGAAATTTTCCTCTTACCAGGATTATTACAATAGCTGTAATAACATTATCCTGTTCCAATTACCCTTAGTGATCTCCCTAAAACAAGTCTTTTTCTCAACTAGGAAGATGGATGACAGAAGACATCTTATACTTTAAAACCTTTCATAAAATTTAAATTTTGAAATATATTTTAAATAACAAAGTCTGATTTTCTTTATTTACATTCATATTTCCTCTTCCATATCAAAAAAAAAAAATCCAAGTTTTAGGAGCATAGCAGGAAAATGTGATGCTCTGTGAGGCTGATTCACATGGGAAGGTTCCGGGTTCATGCTAGATTTCTGAGTACACTGGGCACATATATGTCCATTATCTGGGGCTGACTCAAGCTTGGAGTTGATCATAACATCAAGACCTTCTTGGGATTGTTCTCTCTCTCTCTCTCTCACATGCACACACACAAGTAAACTCTTTTAAAAAGAGTTTTGCAATATAACATACAAAACCCTACATAAAGAGACCAGGGCTTGGTTTGCCTTACTCTTCACCTCATCATTTAATTGCTATTTCTTCTGCTGTATTTTTCTCTCATCCTTCGTGCAAACTTGTAGTATTCCTACTTCTGTTCAAAATCCATCCCTTTGTGGAAGCCTTCTTTTGTGTCTGAATGAATGACATGAAATTTTTGTTTCTCTGCAGCTCACATACCTATATACTGTCAAATTACAAGTGACTAATTTACATATAAAATATCTGCTACTTTACTGTGAGTCATTGAGAACAGAGATTGTATCATATGGATACCCCAAAATCCAACCATTTATTTTCTGCTTCCAGATACTGCCATTTAGTAGGATTTGACACAGAGGAACACTCCCTTCTTGAATCATGTTGTTCTCTAGGTTTCTGTGATCCCTTACACTCACAGACTTTTTTCCTCCACCAGCCCCTTCTTCTTAGTCTTTTAGCAGCTCCTCCTCTATTGCTTCATTTTCAATTGTCCCTGTTTTCCAAACTTCAGCACTAAACTCCTTTCTCTTCTGTAGCTATGCATTTATTATCTGTAAAGAGAGTATATTAGGACCTATACTTAATACCGTTTATAAGCCAATGGTTACTAGATATGGTCTTCTGGAGAATTCCAAAAATCATTTATCCAAGGTGTACTCAGAATCTCAGCTTGGACATATAAGATATTTCAAATACTATATTGGGGGGGGGGTCTTCAAAGAGTTTGTGGAGGGGCCAGCAGATGGTGTAATGGTTACATCACCGGACTCGAACTGGCTGTAGTTTGAGTCCCAGACCCAGCAGCTTGAAACACACTAGGCGTGTGTGTGTGCTTGTCTAAAATACCAAGAGAAGAATGGAGAAGGGACTGTGGTCTGGCCATCCCCCCACCCCCGGGCGAGAGTGTAATTTCTCTCTTTCCATTTCTCTGTCTCTCCGGTGAGCGCATACACTATAGCAAAATTCTCTCTTAAAAAAAAAAAAGAGTTTGTGGAAAATGTATATTATGAAAAAAACTATGACTGGCTTTCACTTTTTATTTTTTGGAGGGGGGTTTGTCACCAAAATAAATTCATATTTTAATTCCATTTTTTCACAAACTTTTTGAGTTTATATTCTCTTGTGTGCCCAAAACAGTACTTCAAAACTTCACATCTTATTCAGAACAGAAACCAAAGTTTTTACAGTGGCCTAAAAGCTCAACAGAATCTGCTACTCAAACTCCCCATCCCATTAATTTCTTCTCTTCTGTGTACTCTCCTTCTGCTCATCATCTTCCAGTTACACTAGACTCTTTGCTGCTTCCCAAATACACTAGGCACACCCCTACATCTGGGCCTTTGTATTTTATTCTTTCTGCCAAGAATATTATTCCTCCATAGTTCACACTGGCTTTCTATTTTTATCAGACTTTTACCCAAAACGTCACGTCAGTAAAGCTACCCTAAGTAAAAATTTTAGTGCTCTTTTTTGTTGTTGTTTTTATTTGCTAGAGGATACTTGTGCTTACCAGAGAGAGAGAGAGAACAAAAGAGAGAAATCACTCCTTAGCTGGGCGTGGTCACACTACATCCATTCACCTCCATCCTGTAGGGATTTGAGGCATGCACACAAACATGCCTGCATGGTTTTCAAGCTTCTGGGACAAGGATGAGAACGAGAGGCCAGCCATGTGGAATTTGGTCCCTTACCCACCAGGCCATGAAACAGGCCCTCAATTCTCTTCATATTTACTAATACTCTTCCCTATTTTATTTTTCACCTTAGCAATTATAATGAACTAATACACAATATGTTTTACTCATTTATTGTCTAATTCCTTTACTAGAATGGAAGTTCTAGGAAAAGAGAATTTATATTTCTTCTTTGTTCATTGTTACATCCTCAGTATCAAGAACTGTGTTTGACTCTTACTAGACAATAAATATTTCCTTAATGGGTGCTGAATAAATAAGTCTTTCAGGAAGTCATAATAGTATAGAATTTTTTTCTTGCCAGTAAATCGTTTGTTAATTTAGTAAACAGAGAAACCAAAGTTGCTTCAAAAGTGTAAAAACTCGGCTAAAATGCCTTCAAGATTTTAAATATTCTTGAAATTATAATGATTAACCGTTCAGAAGACCTCACAGAATCAATGTCAAACATTTATTTGTGTGCAAAATATTTTAATAGTAAATAATAAGAAATGAATAATGCATTTATTTATTCCTAAATAATTTCTAGCATTCAAAGGCTAACTTCAAATATTTGAAAATTTAGTAAAAACAGTTTTCATGAATACAAAAGAATGATAGCTGGAAAATATAATTACACAACTGTAAGAATATGACAATGAGTTTTCAGGTAATATGAAGTTCAGATTTAAGCCAAAAAAAATAAAATATATAGAAATGGAAATTATTTAAGCAAATATTTTTAAAGTCACAATTTCCAAGTAAAGTTTGGCTCTTTGGAAAATAAGAATGAAAATTAATTATAAATGGATGCTAATAGGCTCTTTAATCATACTGCTTTTCTAAAATTAAACAAATAGCTTTTCTACTTCCTTTAGTTTTTTTTTCCTATCCATTTTAGCAATTACAGCCCAACGATCTTCCTGTGTTTTTCTCATAGTTCCAAACTTCACTGTAGATCCAGGGGTTGTTAGCAATGAAGGAGTCTAAATGCAAAATGAATAAAATAAAATAAACTTACTAAAAACAAAATCAAGCTTTTAAATTTTGCTTTTTGAAATAAGATTTAAAAGCTACCTTTGGTGTTCTGACACAAAGATGAGAAGATGGTGAATTATTATTCTTGTATAGTTTTTTCAGTGTCTCTTCCTCTGAAACCATGCTCTTGAAGAAAAACACAAAAATAGAATATTAAGGTTACCATAATTATTATTAAAATTTTGTCAAAATATAACTATGAGGAGAATAAACAATAGAATGAAGAGGGAGAAAAAGGGAAAAGAAAAGGGAAGTGGGAGGAGGGAAGAAGAGGAAGGAGAAAGAAAAGATAAAAGACCAAAGAAAGAAGAAAAAAACAAATCAAGCGTGCATTTGGCCAAACAGAAAGCTAGAATTTTATCCTATTAAACATATTTCTGAAAGGTTATGGTTAAACATAAGATGGGTACAAGACTATTTTTGTGAAAAAGAAATTAGAGAGTTTGTTTTAGTGCAAAAATTTTTGAAATTCATTCATAGTTTTTTCATCATACATATTTCCCATGAACTTTTTGAAGCCCCTCCACCACCCAATATGAGTAGCATTTTTCCACTGGTTTCAACTCCATCGTGTCTTTTTTTTAAATTGTACATAAAATGTTTTATGTGGTTGATCTCAGCTGTGTTCACACTAACTTCATTCACGTTCTCTATGATCAAGATTGCTTAACTGTTTCTGTTGCTGTTGCTTTATCTTTCAGGATCAAGGTGGGTGCTTTCATATAGTATCATATTTTTAATACCTTCTCTGGCAATTCTTTCTTGAATTCTTTGCTTTGCATGATTATACCTACAGTGGAACCAGCATCCTAAATTCACTAAGATAAATCCTCTTACTCCAACATCACATGATCTTCTAATTCTACTAATTAACAAAAAATAATCCAAGGCCAGCCACAGCAGATCCTAATGAACCATATATTGACTCCCATGCACAGGGAATGTTTTCAACATCTAAAATTCCTAGGAGCTTGAAAGGGCTCCAGCACGGGGAACCAGCAGTTAGCGTAATGGCTATGTCTCTGGACTCTCACATAGTCGACCGCGGTTCACGTCCCAGACCCGGTGGCTTAGAACTCACGCCAGGCGCGTGTGCATGCGTGCCCAAGATCCCGAGAGGAGAATGGAGGAGAAGGGATTGTGGAGTGACTATCCCCCCTGGGGGGTGATTTCTCGCTTTCTGTCTCTCTGTCTTTCTGGCGAGTGCACGTGCCCTATGGTGAAATAAACCTCTCAAAAAAAAAGAAAAAAAAATAGAAAGGGCTCCGGTGCGATGGCCATGGGGACCAGTCAGCACCTGCAACCCCACCCTACCCATTGTGTCTTTATACTACCACTTTTCTCTCTTCCTCCTACATTGCTTACTCAAACTCACTTAATTCTTTTAATAACCATTATAATTCTACGAAAATTATAATATTGAGGGGCCAGCAGATGGTGTGGTGGTTAAGGCACTGGACTCCCACATGGCTGACGACATTTCATGCCCTGGACCCAGTGGCTTAAAAATGACATGAGGCACGTTTGAGTGTGTGTCCAAGATCCAAGGAGGAGAACTGAGGAGAAAGTATTGCGGCATGGACATCCCCCAGGGGGATGATTTCACTTTCCCACTTACTGTCTCTCTCCAATGAGCACATGCACCCTCTGGCAAAAACCTAAATTAAAAAAAAAAAAAGTAAACTGTAATATTGCATATAGTACATATAAAGAACTGAAAACAGTATCTGGAAGAGGTCATTGTACCCAGTGTTCACAGTAGTGTTATTTATAATAGCTAAAATGTGGAAGCAACCCATGCATCCAGCACTTACAGATCAATAATAGATAAGCAAAAATTGTACATAGTGGGCTAGCAGGTGGTGTGGATTAAGGTGCTGGATCCCACGTGGCTGACTATGTAGTTTGAGCCCTGGATCCAGTGGCTTGAAAGCATGCCAGGTGCAGATAAATGCACGCCTAAAATCCTAAGAGGAAACCAGAGAAGAAAGGATTGCAACATGGTCATCCCCCCCGGGGAGGGTGATTTCTCACTTTCCCTCTCTTTTTCTCTCTGGCGAGCACCCACACCCTAAAGGGAAAAAACTTTAAAAAATTGTATGCAGTACATACATGTAACAAATATTACTCCATTTTTAAAAGGAAGAAAAGTTTGACATGTTACAACAAAGATGAACCTTAAAGACATTATGCTAAGTGAAAAATGCCAGTCATGAAAAATACAAATATTTTACAATTCCACCTACATGAGATACTTAATAGTAGTCAAAAAGATAGAAACAGAAAGCAGGATGATGGTTTACTGGGTGCTCAAGGGAGGACAAGAAGATGGGAAGCTATTTTTTAATGAACATAAAGTTTAGTTTTACAAATGAAAAGTTATGTACATAAGTGATGGTGATAGTTACACAACATTAAGAATGCATTTAGTAACACTGAGCTTAAAAATGGTTAAGATGGGAAATTTTATGTTGTATTGTTACCATAATAAAATTCAATTATGTTAATTATCAATTTATTAATATAACTCCTCCAAATAATAAAATCTAACTTTGTACTTTCTAAATGCCAGACACTGTTTTAAAGTCATTTACATATTTTAATTAGTTTTAAATTTTATGCAGTTGATATACTAATATCTTCATTTTACAGCTGAGGAAACTCAAGGTACACAAGTATTAAATGACCTGCTCTAGATTGTACAGATAGTAACTACACCTGAGTCACAGCAACTGGGTCAATGATTCCAATTTGAAACAATAAAACCTCATCTGTTCTCATGAATCTTTGTAGCATTTGTCTTTTCATGTGGTTGTCATTTATATACCATCTTTGTAAAAATGTCTACTAAAGTCCTTTGCCCATTTTTTAAAATTGTAATTTCTAGTTTACATATAATCACTGAACATCTTTGTAAGGATAATATGGTTTTTCTAAAGTAGGTGTATGTGTAATAAAGAACAAGCATATTATATTCAATTTTAGCATTACATTATGTTGTGCACATTTGCTATTCATTCTACTTTTTTTGGAAGTATATTTTGAATTGTTTGCTTTGTTGAGTCCTGGGAGTTCTGTATATATTCTGGGCATTATTCTATTGTCAGATTTATATATTTGCAAATATTTCCTGACATTCTGTAGTTTATCTTCCCACTTTTTTGACAGTGTCTTTGATGTACAACAGTTCTTAATTCTGATGAGTCCAATTTATTTTTTTATTCCCTGTGTTAATTTAGTGTCATATCCATAAAGTTGTTACCAAATTCAACATCATGACCTTTTCTCAATGTTTTATTCTGAAGTTGTATAGTTGTACCTCTTCACTAAAACAAAATAACATAAAATAACCATGTGCCTTCCCCGCCCCCTTCATTCTTTACTGCCATGTAAAGGCAGGAAAGGGCTCATGTACTCACAAAAGGGACAGGGAGAGAGAAAGCAAACCAATACCAAACAGGACATGGTCATACTGTATTCCTTTTTCCTCCATTTTTCCTTCCTGTCAGAATTTTAGGCATACACATACAAATGGTGTTTTGTTTGTTTAAAGTCACCAGGAATGGGATCCAAACTGCAGTCAGCAAGTGGGATCTGACTCCCAATGTACAGCACTTCACCACTGCACTTTTCTGTTTCCTGCTTTTTATTTTAGTTGTGTTTTCTCTCATTTGTTTGCTAAAGGTTTACTATTTGTTGGTAGTTTCAGAAAACCAACTTTTGGCCTGGTTTTATTATTTTCTATTCTCTAATATACCTCTTCTAATCTTTATCACATCCATTTTCTACTAGCTTTAATTTGTACTTCCTTAAGGTGTAAAGTTATAGATTTGAGTTTTTTAGAGGTTTTTGTCTTAGGACACATGTACTCAGTGGAGGGAGACAGATACAGTGAAAGGGAAAGTGAGAAACAGCCCCAAGGGGATGACAATGCCCCAATCCCTTCTCCTCCAATCTCCTCCTAGGATCTTGGGCATGCACATACATGCACCCAGCGTGATTTTCAAGCCACTAGGTCTGGGACTCAAATTGTGATTACCCATGAGGGAGTCCAGTGATGTAACTACTACGCCATCTGCTGGTCTGTGAAAAAATTTTAAATGTAGACATTTATCATTACAAATTTTCCTCTAAGCACTACTTTCACTGGATCATATATATTTGGGCATATTGTGTATTCTTCTTCATTCATCTCTGTATCTCATTTCCCTTGTGATTTCTTTTGACCCATAGTTGAATGTTTTTAATTTACACAATTTTTTGAGTATTCCACTTTTCCTTATTTCTAACTTCATCTCATTGTGTCAGAGCAGATCTTTTGTGTGAGGCGTTTTTATATTTGTTGAGTTTGTTTTGGGGTCTAACATATTATCTAGAGAATGTACTATGTGAATCTAAGAAAAATATGTAATATGGAGCCAGCAGGTGGTATAGTGGTTAAAGTGCTGGACTTCCACATGGCTGTGGTTTGAGTACTGGACCCGGGAGCTTGAAAATCACACTGGCCATGTGTGTGTGTGTGTGTGTGTGTGTGTGTGTGTGTGTGTGTGTGTGTCCCAAAATCCCAGGAGGATAATGGAGAAGGGATTGCAGCATGGCCAACCCCCCTGGGGGTGATTTCTCACTCTCCCTCTCACTGTCTCTTCTCCATTGAGTGCATGTGCCCTGTAAAATAACCTTAGAAAAAATATGATAAAAATATATGGCTGGGTAGTGTTTCGTGTATGTCTATTACATCTACTTGACTTACTGTGCAGTTCAAGTTCCCCGTTTCCTTATCTTCTGTCTGGGTACTGTATACATTTATGAAAATACAGTATCGAAGTATGAAACAAATATCATAGAACTGTTTATTTCTCCCTTCAATGTTATTGTTTTGTTTCATATATTATGAAGGTCTGTTATAAGGCAAGAAATGTTTAAAATTGTTCTTACTGTTGTATGGAACTTTTAAATACATGTCCCTTTTTTTGTCTCTTGTACTTTTTTATTTAAAATTGATTTCACTTGACAGTAGCATAGCCACCCCAGCTCCTTTTTGGTTACTATTTGCATAGAATATCTTTTTCTGTCCTTTAACTTTCAGTCAGTTTTTGTCTCTGGACCTGAAGTGAGTGCCTTGTGAA